TTTCGCGGCTGCGGAAGTGGCCGCCTTGAGAGAGCGCACGGTGGAAAAGAAGCGGTCGGGAGGAACCGACAGGAACGCGTCGAGGCCCGCATCAATGGTCTTGATGATCTCCTTTGGATCGCCGGTCGCGGCAAGCGTGACCGCTCTACCAGCGAGCGGCGCGACGGCCCTTGAGGTCAGGCCCTTGACCACCGGGTATGCAGCGTCGGCGACCGAGAGAGAGGCCTCCTGAAACGTTGGCGCTCGCTCGCTCGCAGGGAGAGACAACGACGGCAACCCCTGCATCTCGGCGGCGCTCGCCGGCATTTGCAGATTAGGTGCCGTCGTAGCGAGCAGGTCCGCGACGCACACTCTTTGGGAACCACTCCGCTCCGCACCTTCTCTGTCACAGAGCATGCTCCTGTGCACCCTTGCTCCCACCATGCTTGCAAAAGCGCGGCCGCGCGCCGCCATCGTCACAGGTGGCACGCGCGGGGTCGGGAGGGGCATTTGTGAGGCGCTCGCAGCAAGCGGCTTCGATCTGCTCATGACGTACAACACGGACGCGACTTTGGCGGAGAAGGCTGCTGCGGAGCTTCGCTCGGAGTACGGATGCTCGGCGGAGCACATCGGCGGAGATATTTCGCTCGAGTCCACGCGCGACGCCATCTTTGCCCACTACGACAAGACGTTCGCAGGGTCTCACGCGCTCGGTGCCGTCGTGCACAACGCTGGCCAGTACGTCGGTGTCACAGCTTCCAAATGCGAGTATCGCGTACATCTCCGCGTCTATCGGCTCCCACATGTTCGGGAGCTTTCCTCCCCACATTCCCGCCCCAAACGCTGTCCGTATCTCCCCTTCCTCACAGGGTCCGATTCCGTTGGGATCCTTTACCTGTGCGTCCCCCGGGACGCTCTTTCCGAATCGTGTCGGTCCTTCGAACACGCCGTACGCCACCCTAGGGTTCGGCACGTACTTTCCATCCTCCGCCATTTTGTCCTCATGGTCCTTTCCTCCGTCCGTCGCCGCAAAGTGTGTGAACTGGTGTGAGACGTGCAGCGCGAGGCATGTCTGCGCTACTTTCACGTTCAGGGCTCGTCCCTTCCCCGACCGCAGCGGCTCACTGTCTTTTCCCATCTTAATTCGCTTTCCTTTGCCGTCCGTCAGCTCTCCCCCCGTCTCAAATTCGTCGTATCGGAGCAAGGAGCGGCGGTGGAGGTGGCGGATGGCCTCCTGGTGTTTCTTTTTTTCAGAGCGCCGCCCCTGACCAACAAGCTCGCCAACAAGCCGTGAGCCAAGGCGCTTCCGCTCTCTCCGCACAACACCCTCCCTGCCCCCCCCTCCCCTGCCCTAAACCGAGCCGCCGCTCCTCCGCCCGCGCCGCCTCTCCACGCCCGCTCCAGTGCCAGCGTCTCCGTCCGGCGCAAGGCCACGTCCGCCGTTTCCATTCCAGACGTCTTCTCGATGTGCCCTCTCGCGCGCCGTGCCGTGCCCGTTCTCTCCCCAGATCCCCGCGCCGTCCGCCGCCCCAGCGCCGCCCGCACCGTCCCCCGCCCCCGCCGTTCCCTCCACCCCCAGCCGCCCGATGACGCCCGCCGCGCGCGCGCGCCGACCTTTTCCGGTGCTCGAGCAGATACGCCATGGCGGACCAATCGCTCCTGCCTCGACGGATCGTCAAGGAG